GGCCGGCCACAGACCTGCACTAGAGGTCCACCCGCTCAGTCAGCAAACCCCAGGGGCCCCAGCACAGAAAGAGATGGAGGAGGAGAGAGATGGACAAAAAGAACACTTTGGGGATGACATAATTGTTCCAAAGTTGGATTCTGGAGATGGTATACAGCTGAATTCCTTTACTGAAATTCACTGCAGCAAAGGCTTAAAATGGGTGACCTCATCTGGCGTAAATTAATTCAGCGAAGCTGCAATAAGCATCCTGCCTGCAGAGGGAGCCAGAGACCACAGGTTGTGCTCAGAGTGCGGGTGGGGGTCAGCGGTGACCCTCCATTTCCCGCCTTCCAGAGGCAATGACCTGGAGGCCAGGGCGGCCTAATATGGTCCTTCCAAGCCTGGGAGCTCCTGGTGCAAAGCCAGCCCCCTTCATTTAGATGCTGGCCAACCCCGTTTGCCTTGGACAGCCTCGACCCAGCCCCTGGCCATGTGACCAGGTGCCTTGGCCTGACCATCAGAAGACCCTCCCCCTTTTCCATAACTCAAAGACAAACACAGACACAGATGGGTCCTCCCCTTCCCTGACCACCTCAGCACTGGTGGGCCAGCCCAATGCAGACAAGTGTCCAGAGGGAATGCAGGGACCTCAGGGCAAAACCACCTTCACCCCCCAGTTGAGGCATGCAGAGAAGTACGCACCAAACACGTGTGCAGAGTGGACAGCCATGCATCCCCCAATCCTCCAGACAGCCAGCGCCAACCAGGAAAGCAGTCCATGAGAAAACACCACGGGGTGTCCACTACGATTAGGAACACGGGAGAAAAAAAAACATTTACAAAAAAATGTTTGCCTGGCCAGTGGCACATGCCCATAATCCCAGTGACTCAAGAGTCTGAGGCAGGAGGATTGCAAGGTGGAGGCCAGCCTCAGCAATTTAGGGAGGTCTAAACAACTTAGTGAGACCCTGCCTCAAAATCAAAGGTAAAACCAGCTGTGGATGTGGCTTAGTGATTAAGCAACTTGGGTTCAATCACAAATACCAATAAATAAAATAAGAGAAGCCAGGCGTGGTGGCTAACCCTGCAACTCCAGCTACTCCGGAGGCTGAGGCAGGAGAATCGCGAGTTCCAGGTCCGCCTGGGCGAAATGCAAAATAAAAAGGGCTGGAGAGGTATTTCCGTGATGGTGATGGAGCCCTTGGCTCACACCCACAGGCCCTCATCCCATCTCCAGCACTGAAAAATAAATAAGCGAATAAATACATGGAGGGAGAAAAATGGAAGAAAAAAAGAAAGGAATTCAGCAGACAGTGACGAGGCAGAAGAGTCCTCGCTGAGAAGAGATTTTCCTTTTATTTTTTGGTGCTGGGAATTGGACCCAGGGTGCTACCCCTGAGCCACACCCCAGCCCTGTTTTATTCATATATATGTATGTAAATTTAGAGAGAGGCTCTTGCTAAGTTGCTGAGGCTGGCTTTGAACTTGCGATCCTCCTGCCTTGGCCTCCTGAGCTGCTGGGATCATAGGCGTGCGCCACGGCGCCCCACTGTTGAGAAGTGATTTTTTAAACTGAGGCCTGATGGTGGAAGGAATTTGAGGAAGGGGAGAAGAGAGACTCACAGGTGGACAAGGTTGGAGCAAAGCTGTCTCCGTAGTCCTGACCTCAGAAATTATGTGAGATGATAAATGTTGACTGGGTCAAGCTGCCAAGGTTCGGCCAGTTTGTTTTGCAGCCATCGCTGGCTGGTGCATTGGGGTTTCTCCTGAAGGGAGAGCCAGGTCTGAGAGCCAAAACCCACTTATAGAAGGAGCACAGCCTTCTCCACGCTTGGGTCACAGGGAGAGCCCATCCAATGCCACTATGTGGGCACTCCCAGGTGGGCACCTGGGTCTGGTATTACACGGTATGGGTTATGGTGACAGATGGCTGGGATTCAGGCCTCAGTGACTGTGGCTGAGTGTGCCCCCAAAGCTCACATGTTGGAAACTTGGTCCCCAGAGATGTGTTGGTGGTGTTGGAGATGGGGCCTTGGGGCGGTGGTCAGGGCCAGGGAGGTGGTCAGGGCCAGGCGAGGTGGTGGGGGCCAGGCGAGGTGGGAGGGGCCAGGCGAGATGGGAGGGGCCAGGAGAGGTGGGAGGGGCCAGGCGATGTGGGGGGGGCCAGGCCAGGTGGGAGGGGCCAGGCCAGGGTGGGTGGCGTGGGTGGCTCCTTAAGACTTAGCTGGCATCTGTCCTTCTCAGTCAGGAATTCCTGTGTTTCCTCCAGGACTGCTCACCGGGTGTCACACAGACCTGGCCAGCTAGCCAGCAGAGCAGGTCTCTGAGTAACCACGCTCTCTTTCTGGTCCTGAGGTTGAACCCGACGGGGCTTCACCACTGAGCCACCTCCCAGCTCTTTTATCTTTTATTTTTTGAGACAGGGTCTCACTGAGTTGCTGCCCCTCACCAGACCTTGGGGGAGGCTGGATGCCCCCTGAAGCCTGTGGAGGGACCCCGGGGGGCCTTCCTGGTGCCCCCCCCGCCCAGCTGGTATGGCAGCCGGGACACCAAGGCAGGTGTCCCTCAGCACCCCTGCAGGGCCTCTGTCCTGCTCCCTGTGGCCACTTGTGCACAGAGGACAGCAGGTGCCGGACCCCCACTCTTCCCACCAAGCCCTGCTCTGGGGCGGGGGAGAGGACTGACCCCCCTGCTGCACCAGGGTTCTGAAGGGGTCACTCCACAGCCCTCCACCCCTTGGCCTGGGGACCCTGTCCCTAGGGAGGTGGGGTCTGAGGCCTCCCAGGGAAGACCCAGGCATCTCTTCCCAGCCGGGCCTGGTGCTGATGTCCTCACCCTGGGCTGGGCCTCCGTGTTGGTGCCACTGGGGTGGACGCGGCCTCACTGGCGCTAGCCTGGCGCTGTGACCCTGAGCTCAGAGTCTATTTATTTATTTTAAGCAAAAATTCTGAAGCTTTTAGAATGTGAATGGCTCTTTCAAACTGTCCTACGGACCTTGAGCAAACCTTAGCTTGGAGCCGCCAGCAAGGGGACACTCTTGCCTCCCCTCTCCCATCTCCTCCCCAGGGCCAAGTGAGGCCACTCAGAGTGGCCGGAGGACAGACAAGAAGGTACCTGCTGTCATCCCAGCCCTGACAGGGTTTCAAATAGGACAGCAGAGTGGCCATTTAAAATGCTTCCGTCTCCCACAGGACACAGGAACTCCACTAAGAACCCCGGATCCATGTCCAGTGCTTTGATCCTTTGTGATGGAATGTTCTAGATTTTTTTTTAAATATTTCTTTAGTTGTAGATGGACACAACACCTTTATTTCTTTATGTGGTGCTGAGGGTCGAGCCCAGTGCCTCACACTTGCTAGGCCAGCGCTCTGCCCCTGAGCCCAGCCCGGCCCTGATGTTCTAGATCTTTGCTGTCAGGAGAGCCCCTGACACAGTGGCTGTTGGGCATTGGATTGCCGCTGGAGCACCTGGGATCCGGGATCTTACATCGTATTTATCCATGGAGGTGCTGGGGATGCAGCCCAGGGGCTGAGCCAGGCTCTAGCCCTGAGCCGCACCCCAGCCCTTGTAACTTTTGATTTTGAGACAGGGCCTCACTAAGACTGAGACTGTCCTCCGACTTGCCATCCTCATGCCTCAGCCTCCAGAGTCACTGAGATGACAGGCATGCACCACCGAGCCTGGCACATTTTAATTTTAATTCGCTTAAATTGAACCAGCCACTGCTTAGTGGACACCACAGGAAACAACACATAAACAGATGTGTCCAAGACAGGATGTCCAGAGCCAGGGACCCCAGGGAAGAGCAAGGCAGAGAGGGAGCCACGAGCAGGCTGGACCCTAAACAAAATGGGCCTGTTGTAGAACAGTGGGCGGAGCCTTCCGTGGCCACACCTCCTCCTCCCAAGCCGGGCAAAGCAAGTCATCCTGTGCTTACACCAGAGCCTGGGGGTGGGGGGCTGGGCCCCCAGCTCCACGCACAGACAGCAGAGCTGCCGACACAGCCTCTCACCCCAGAACTCTGCACAGAGCACTTCATGTTTGGAATTGGAGCCACAACACGACTCTTGGATCCTCCCACCACAGGATCCCATCCACAGTCAGACAGACACACACACACACACCCAGCCTCCCTCCTTTCTCTCTGAAGTCATGGCAGGCCTCTCTCTGGCCCCACGCAGTGCCCTCCTGGCCTCCCTACTTCTCTAGCAAGCTCCCCTGCTCAGGAGGTTCACACACTACCCACTCTGCTCTTGAACTTGGCTGTTGCGCACCAGCCTCAGGCCCTGGGCTGTTCCAGCCGTGCGTACGTGGGCACTGGATCCTTGCGCACGGGGAGGGCAGCAAGGAATCTCCTGGGGCTGGGGGAGGCTTGGTTCTCTCTGGGAAGGGGACGTGAAGGCCATTTATCACACGTTATTCAGTACTGACAGAACTTAACGGGCTTGATCTAAGGACTGGGGTAAAATGCTAAAGATCCTACCCTCCCGGTCCCCAACTGATGTCACTCTTGGACAAAGCTAAGAATATCAGACCAGTCACGCTGCAGTGTTGTCACCCAGCCCCTGTCCAAGCGCCACGCTCGGATCCTCACACCCTACGCCCCCCTAAAAGCCGGTGCTCCGGGACCCCTCACTGCCTGCAGCGCCCCGCTCGCCGCCCTTCCGGCCAGCGGGACCGCGAGGGTTAAGCCGAGCCGGCGGTTCGCTGAGTGACAGCCCGGTCCACGGCCCCGAGCGGAGCGGCCAATCGGCGACGGAGCGCGCAGCCCACGTGGGCAAGCGGCCTCGTGATTGGCCAGCGCCTCGGGGCGCCGCGGGCTGAGCCTGAGCCCACGTGCAGCTGCGGCTGCTCCCCGCGGAGGGGCGGGGCGGGGGCGCGGGGTCAAAAGGCGCGGCGCGGGAGGCGGCGCTTCCTGGGCCTGAACTTGGCTGACCCCCGCAGCTTCCGCTCTGCCCGCTGCCCTCCGCACCCCCCGGGAGGTGCGTGGGCAGCCGCTTCCGGAGGAGGCTGGGGTTCCCGCGCGGGGAGGGCTGGAGGGGCGCTGGGGGACGCCACTGCCGCTGAAGCGGTGGGAGCCTGGACGTCCCTGTCCCCAGCTGATGAAGTCCGCCAGATGCACCTGGCGGACTCCTACTCAGCCTTCAAAACCCTTTCCGGGACCTTCTCTTGCGCTTTAGAAAGTTGTTTCCAAGCCTTGGCTGGGTTCGGCCACCTCCCTGGGCTCCCCCATCCCTGACAGTCCGCCTTGTCTCCCGCACTGGGGGGAGGTCACCCTTAATCAGGGGAGCTGGAGGCACTGGAAGGCGCGGGGCAGGAGGCCAGGGGGAGAGCTGGGGGCCTCGCTCGGGTGGCTCTGACCTGTCCCGACTCTGCCTTCTGCCCTCAGGACCTGGCTTCTTCTCGCTACTTCTAGAATCTCTGGCTAAATTCCTGGGAGCCACAGCTTGAAGATGACCTCTCCGGGCCAGCCCGAGCCCAAGGGCACCCTCGGAGGAGCTGCGGTGAGAAGGGCTGGTGGCAGGGGCCCAGGCTCTGGTCCTTTTCCCTTTGGGATCCCCTGTGCTGGGGCTGGCTCGGGCCAGGCTTCGCAGCTGCAGGCAATGACCTCCCGCTCCCTACCCAGGGCAGGTGTGGAGGGGCTGCCGGCCCTGGAGGCTGCAGCCAGCTTTCAATCACAGGCGGTGAATCGGGAGCTGGCGAAGCCCCCAGCCGGCCACTTCCAGAGCCCGCTGGGCTGGGGGTGCGGTGGGGTTCAAGTCCTAGCACTGCAGAAGGGGAAAAGTCTGATTCGTAAATTAGGCGCAGTAAGAGGTTCATGGTGGCAGGGAACACCAAGATAGAACCACAGCTACACGGTGACAAAAACCACGGGAACGTGGTCTCTTACCCGTGGCACAGTATGGGGGTAGAGGTGGAATCTGTCCTTGCAAAATGAGGAGCCTTAGGTTTTAGGCCCGGCCCAGGGGACTTCAGGGGGCTGGAGCCCTGGCTGAGGGCGACCTTGGGTGTCTGGGAGGGGCTGCTGCTTTTATTCACCCCTCCTTGGATTTTTCCAGCCTGGCCCGGGAATTTCTGACCCTGAGAGCCCGCCCACCCTAAGTGGTGCCCAAACCCTGGGCCAGCTCAAGGACCAGCTCCCCAGGTGAGGGTCACTCGGAGGGAGTCGTCCACCGTCTGCCCCCCAACCCCTGCCCTGTGGCCCTGTTGAGTGGTCTAGTAGTCCTTGGCCTCAACGTCAGGGCCAGCCCGGGGCGTTAGTAACCACTGGCCTTCATTAGAAATGTGCATTTTTCTGACTTTTTTTTTTTTTTTGATACCAGGGCTTGAGCCCAGGGCTGCTCTGCCCCTGAGCCACCTCCCCAGCCCTTTTTTTATTTTGAGATAGGGTCTCACTAAGTTGAGGCTGGCCTTGTATTTATGACCCTCGGCCCAATTGCTGGGTTTTGGGCAGTACTGCGTGGACCTCTCGCGGGAGGCAGGGTGGGCCGTGGCCCGGCAGGCAGCAGAGTTCTGTGGACAGGGCCTCTCACTGCAGCTTGGGGTTGGGCCGAGGAGGGGTCTGGGTGTGTCCAGCAGTGCCCCTCCCCCCAGGCTGCAGCTTCGAGTGAGCACACAGCTGGAGAGCGTCTTCCACCTGGTGAGCAGAGCTGCCCCGGCCCACCTGCCTCCTCCTGGACCGGCCACACCCAGCTCAGCTGCCTGGCTTGGGGACACTGGGGGGGGCCCTTGCTCACTTGGGCCGTGCTGGACATGCGGGATACCTGGCTGTTAATGTCGGGCTCCAGCCCCAGTGGGTGGGTCAGGATGCAGAAAGTACCACAGAGCCCTCCCCTGCTCAGGGGTGCTGCTGCTAGAGCTTCCGGAATGTTCTGCATCCCCAGCCCCCGCCAGCCACTAAGCCCTTAAATGCAGCTGGTGCATCTGGGAGCAGAATCTTCCTTTCAGTTTGACTTAGCCTCTGTGGCCACACTGGACCAGTGGCTGTCCCCCGTGGACGAGGGGCCATAGAGGAGGTGACACACCGTGGGGCGGTCCAGCTGCCCAGGGAATCTGCAGAGGGTCCTTCTGAGGCCAGGTGGTCAGGAAGGGCTCCTGCAGGGGCCACGCCCTCCACCCAGCTGCTGTGGAGGCTGAGGCAGGAGGATGGCAAGTTCGAGACCAGCTTGGGCAATTTAGCAGACTCTGTCCCAGAAGAGCCAGGGATGGAGCTCAATAGTAGAGCCCCCCTGAATTCAACCCCACAAAAGACTGTCATTCTGGAGTGTAGAGGGAAGGGTGTCCTACAAAGGCCCTGGGGCTCCCACACCTGGCTGAGCAGGCAGAGAGAAGACGGTGGGCCCGAGGAGCAGGCCTGGGCTGTAGGGAGGAGGTGATCTTCAGGTCGTTGGGAATGAAATCCAGAATTCCTCCATTAGCCATCACTGTGGTAGATGGTGTGCCATTTAAGGGTAAGAACCAGAGAGGTAGAGCAGGTTGCCCGGGTCACACAGCATTCAAACCCAAGTCTCGCCTGCTCCCATGCGCCCTCTCCCAGTGTGGTTCCTGCTCTTTGCAGCTCACTGAAGTCCAGCAGGATCTTCAAGAACACCACAGGCAGGTGAGCGGGACTCGGGAATTCGGGTGTCACTGCCCCGCTTTGAAAGGGCAGGAGTGGGAGCAGGACAGGGTGGGCTGGGGTGGGCTGGACAGGGCCTGTGGACCTCGGCGAGGGCCTGAGCTTGGCCCTGGGGCGGTGGGAGCTGTGGAGGGCTGGGGGCAGGGGAGGTGCAGCCTGACTTGGGTCACATAGTCCCCTTGAGACTAGGGGGTTCCCACATCTGGAGACCCCCAGGTCCCACCCCACCTGAGCTGCTTCCAGGACATGGGCTGGCCGGTCCTTCGTGGCCTGCTCCCGGGTCCCCGTGCAGCCCTGGCCACCTGGGCAGGCCAGACCCCAGGTTGGGTCTCCCGTGTGTCTGGGGGCTGCCCGAGGCGCCTGCCCCCCACCCCGCCAGCTTGGGGTGCCTGGCCAGCCAGTGCAGGGCCTCCATCGGCCTGTCCGGCCACCTGGCCCCTTCCTCCTGGGTGCTGGCAGGTCTCTGCTGGTGCCAGAGGTGCCTGGCAGTGGACCAGGGCTGGGCACGTGGGGGGCACAGGAAGCCGCAGAAAGTGGTCATTCAACAGACGTCATCCATCCCCCGCTCCCAGATACTGATCAGGCACCAGGAGGGGCATCACTGCCGGTCAGGGGAGGCCGGGCGGGGCGCAGGGGCCGGGGCAGCAGCTGGGGGTGCAGGACGGGCCTGGGCTGCGCTCCAGGGTGACGGGGAGGCAGGCTGCCTGGGAAGGTGCTCCAGGCAGAGCGCAGCCCCGGAGCCTGGCAGGTGGGCACAGCACGTGGGAGTGGGGGGTGGGAGCCAAGGAGGGCTGTGGGGGAGGAAGGAGGCCGGCCCTGCTGGCGGGCACCCTCTGGCTGCTGCGGGAGGCCAGGCTGGGGCCAGGGGGCCAGGGCAGAAGCTGGGGTGGCCGGACATGGATGTCGAGGGGTTTAGTAGGATGTGGGTGCCTGGGGGAGGCCCTGCAGCAGCTGCCTGGCCTCCTGTGGAGTGGGGGCTGGGCTCGGGCAGCCCCCGGTCCTGCGAGCGCATTAACTAGCGGGTGAGCTGCAGAGGGCTCCCCAGGGCTCTGCGGAGGCCCAGCCAGGGAATCCATCTCCGCGGCCCGGGGCAGCTGCCAGGCGAGGGCCTGGTGCAGGGTCCCAGCCTCCCGCCGCCCGTCGCTTTCTCCTGACTGGGGATAGCCCCAGCCTCCTGACCTCAGCTCTCCTGTGGGCCACATGCGAGTGGCAGGGGGACCTGCACATGGGGCCAGAGGTGGCCCAGCCCCTGGGCACTGGCCTTCCTTCAGGACAGGCCATCCCAGGTCCACGGGGAGTGGGCCACACCATTCTCGGGCACTCGGGCCCCGGAAAAGTGGCCCAGGAAAAGTGGCCCAGGACTGTGCACACGGCCCAGGCGTGGGCCTCTCGCGGCCTCACTGCATGGCTGTGGGGTGCCTGTCACCTTGGAGTTGGGGACAAGGGGCCATGTGCTCGGGATGACGTCAGGCTCTTCTGTCCTGGGGGTCTCACCCCCAGGTCTGACCCCGCCTGGCCTTGAGGACAGCTGGGTCACAGATGTCCAAAGCCTGCTTGACTCCAGGCCCCGCTCCTGGTCCCCCAGCCTGCCTCTCGAGGGTCACGCTCCGGTCCCACGGGGGTGCTGGCTGCCGGGTGCAGGGTCCTGTCGTCCCTCCCGCAGGTGGAAGCCTTCCTCCAGGTGGTGGAGGCCAGCAGCCCCGCCCCGGACGGCCAGCCCGCGGAGGTGGGTCTCAGGTCCTCAGGAGGGAGGGACGGCTTGGGCTCAGGGGTGGCCCTGTCTCACACCCCCATACGTGTGGCCCCAGGTGGGCCGACTCTCCCCTGGGAAACGCCCTGGCCGGGGCCACCAGGAGGCCCTGGGCCCCAGCTCCCCCCAGCTCCCAGAGGGCGGGAGCCCACAGGAGTCGGACTTCGAAGACGTGGTCACCAGAAGGCAGTCCGACTGGCTGCGGCCGCCCCAGTCCAGCTGGGACGAGGGCGAGATGCCACCGTGCTGGGACCCGGAGCCCCCGTTCTGGCAGGACGTCCTCACCACGCAGCTTTGGCAGATCTTTGCCGATGTCCAGGAGAAGGCGGCTCAGCCCTGCCGCCGAGGTGAGTGTCCTGGGGGCGGCTGGCCGGTGTCCAGGGCCGGCAGAGCCCGCAGCCATCTCTCTGTCTTCCCCTTTCGTTGTCATAGTGACCGAGCAGGCTCGGGGCCTGGTGAGTAAACGCACGTGGTGGGGACAGCGGCCTGGCTCTGGTCCTGACGAGGCCGAGGCCGCGGGGCCCTGCAGGGTCAGTCCACTTCCTCTCCCACCCTGCCAGGGACCCCGGAGGGACCAGAGGGTGGTGTCGGAGCCACTGGGTGTCTGCAGCCGTGCACCTCTGGGATGGCCACCCCGGCCGTGGACGGGCCTCTGCGAGGGGCCTGGGCATCCCTGGGGCTCGGCTCAGCTCTCCCATGTCCCACGGGCAGGACAGCAAGGGCCTAGAGTCACCTGACACGGAAACGGCAGCCAGCACTGACCCCATGGGCAGCGGGCAGGAGGCGCTGGCTGGGGTGCAGGGCGCCTGCCCCTCCAGGTGCGCCAGGTGCGCCGTGCCCTCTCTCTGGCTGGCTCCCGCCCGGGCCAGGTCCCCTCTCAGCTCCCTGGAGGACTGCGGGGAAGAGGCTGCGCTGGCCGGGCTGGCCCAGGTGAGCACCAGGCCGGCTGCCCCTGCCCACCCAGGCTGTGGGAGGGCAGGGGACAGTGAGCTCTCGTCCCCCGCAGGAGCCTGCTGCAGGAGCCTATGCCCTTCTGAAGCTCATGTAAGTGCCGCGCTGCGGGAACAGGTGGGGCGCTAGTCCCTCCCGCCGTCCCCAGCGGAAGGGGGCCGGGGGGCCACGGGGCTGTGCTCTCTGCTCTGGGGGGGGGGGACGTGCGCGGCGTCTGCACAGGCGTCACTGCCTGTTCCCGGTGTGGCCGGGGAGTCCTGGGCAGGGCGGGCTGTTCGGCCTGGGTGTAGGTGACCCAGTCCTGGGCGGCCCGCAGGCAGGGGCACGCGACTTGGGGCCTGAGGATGAACAGGAGCCCCACGTCAGGCCGGGCGCTGCGGGCAGCAGTGGGCAGTTGGGACGATGGGACGCGCTCGCAGGGCTGTGGGCAGGGGGTCGGGACATAGAGCTGGGGAGTGAGACCCGGTTGCCACCTGGGGCGGAGCTGCCGTGGGCAGGCAGGTCACCCAAGGCTCCTCCCAAGATCCTGGGACCCCGCGGACTCTGGAGACTCCTGGAGGCGGCCGGACGCCCCGTCCCGGCAGTGCCGGCGCTTCGCGCTCCCACACACGCTGCAGAGGATGCGCCTGCTGCGCCACGGGGAGCCCGTGCTGGCCCTGGCGGTCAGCAGCTTCACGAGGCACGCGTTCACCTGCAGCAGGGGCGGCATCAAGGTGTGGAGCCTGGTCGGCCAGGTGGCCGAGGACAGGTTCCCCGACAGCCACCTGCCCGTGCACAAGCAGGTGAGGGCCGCCTGGGTGCGCTGGGTGCAGGACGGCTGCCTGCAGGGGCTGACGGCTCTGACTGTCCCCAGGCCCCGGACGCCTACCTGTGCACCTGCCTGCTGTCCTCCAACAGCAGGACGCTGCTCACCGGAGGCCACAACCTGGGCAGCGTCTGTGTGTGGGACCTGGCCGCGCCCTCCCTGCACGTGAAGGGGGAGCTGCCCTGTCGAGAGGCCGCCTGCCAGGCCCTGGCCGCCAGAGCGGATGAGAGCTTGGTCTTCGCAGGCTTCACGGATGGCTGTGTCAGGATCTGGGACCTGCGGGCCCCGCACGTGGTCAGGTGTGGCCCCAGGGTGGGAAGGGGCCTGCACCCGGCCTCCTGGCCTCCCAGCCTCCCACGGAGTGCCTCCGCCAAGCCCCCCATCTCCGCCAAGCCCCAGCCCCCCGTCCCAGCCCCGTCTCTTCCTCCTTGAGCTCAGATCTGAGCCAGCCCCACGGCCCTGTTTTTCCCTTTTCCCACTGGGACCAGGTGTGACAGTCCAGACTCAAAGGATCCTTTTTTGTGCTGGGGACTGAACCCAGAGGAGCTCTACCACTGAGCCACACCCCAAATTCTTATTTTTTGAGACATCATCTCTCTAAGTTACTTAGGGTCTCACCAAGTTGCTGAGGCTGGCCTCCTATAGCAATCCTCCTGCCTCAGCCTCCCTCCCGAGTTGCTAGGATCCCAGGTTGCGCCCAGCCCTGACTGCAGATAGTCCTAAAGGGTGAAATCAAACAGTGAGCTGACAGTCCTGTGTCACCGGGGTCGTTCCAAGAAACGCTTCCTCAGCAGCGTGGTGGTGGCTTGTGCCAGCCTGGGTGGACCAGGTGCTGCACCAGCCTGGGGCGCGGCCTCCGTGGAGCCTCTCACAGCGGCCCACAGGGCGGGCCCACCTGCCTGCGGCCTCTGGGCCAGCACTCACGGCGGCTCCGTGAGGGGTGCCCGCAGCCCGTCAGAACCAGGGTGCACAGACAGGGCAGGGACCACTGTGTCCTGTGTCCCTTCTTCAGCTGCAGTGTGAAGGGGCACTCGGGGGGTGGCACTGCCCGTCAGTGCCCAGAGCCTATTAGATGAGTGACTGAGAAAGGCTGGTAGCATTTCCTGGGACAGGAGCCCGAGTCCCGGCCCCGGCCCCGACCCCAGCCCGACCCTTCCCACCAGGGACGTTTTGGGCCAGCTGAACGGAGCCAAGAGCATCGTGGTCAAAGACAACGACATCTGGACGGGGGGTCTGGACGGCCAGCTGTGCAGGTGGGACCTGAGGATACTGCGGGACCCCACGGTGATCCTGTTCAAGTCCCAGGTATGTGGCTCCGTGTGGCTCCTGGCAGCGCAGCTGTCCTTGGCTTAGAATGTGGTGGACGCTGGCGGCGGGGGAGGGGGTGCCGTGGTTTAGTTGTGGATGGACCCAGCTCCTTTGTTTTACTCACTTATACGTGGTGCTGAGACTCGATCCCAGGGCAAGCGCCCTGCCACTCAGCTCCCGCCCCCGCCCCACCCCCGCCCGGGGAGGGTTCCTGTCCAAGTGATTCCAAGTGCCACGCCAGGACTCAGGTGGTCAGGAATGTTGTCCAGGTGGGGGACAATCACTCAGGAGGCTGAGGCAGGAGGACAGCACGTTCAAGGCCAGCCTGGGCAACTCAGTCTCAAAAAGGGCCAGGGGCGCAGCTCTGCGGAGTGCCCACCTCTCAGTGCCCAGGCTGGGCCCGATCCCCAGCACCGCGGGAGGAGGGTGTCCGGCACATGCCCAGCACATGCCCAGCACATGCCCAGCACTCGTGCTCCATGCTGGCCTGCCCTGCCTCGGAGCCCTGGAGCAGGGCACTGGGTCTGGGGACCCACCCGCAACCTGGGCAGCTGTGGGGGCTGGGGCCAGGCTGGACTGACAGGGCTGCCTCCTGCCACCCCCAGATCATGAGCCTGTCCCTCAGACCCCAGGAGGACTGGCTGCTGCTGGGCCTGGCCAACGGCCAGCACTGGCTACAGCACTGCACCCGCAGCCAGGTGCGCAGGGTGGGCGGCAACGACAGCGCCGTCCTCGGACTCAAGTTCTCCCCCTACGGTGAGCAGCCAGCGAGGCGGAGGCCGGCCCCGGCCTCCCCTGACACAGGCCCCCAGCCAGCCGTTCTGGCAGAGCCTCCCCGGGTCCCGCCTCCCCCCTCCCCCCCGGGTCCCGCCTCCCCCATTGCTGTCCCACCATGACCCAAGCCCCACACCCCTGCTTCCTCCCAGGCCAGTGGTGGGTGAGCGTGGGGATGGACAACCTGGTCAGTGTCCACAGCATGCCCACGGGGGCCCTGGTGTTCCAGGTACGCGGTGAGGGGGGGGGGTCCACTGGGCACCTGGGGGATCCAAGAGGGACGGAGATGACCTACCAGGCAGGGCCTGGGGCAGTGGGCCCAGCACTCAGCTGGCCGCCCCCCAGGTGCCCGAGCCCTCCTCTGTCCTGTGCTGTGACGTGTCTGCTGACAACCGGCTGGTCGTGGTGGGGTCTGGGACCCAGGCCTCGGTGTACCTCGTCACCTACTGAGGGCCTCGCCGTCCCCGGCGCGGGCTCCTGTTCCCATTTCTGTTCCCGTTTCTGTTCCCCGTGGTGGTGGTGGGGGTGGGGCCGGGCCTGGGGCTCGCAGACTCAGGTCCTCACTGCACAGAATAAAGCAGCTGGAAAGACGTTCACGTCCTGTCCCCGGGGAGCGAGGGCTCCCACCCTGTGCCCACAGCGTCACCGAGACCTGGGGGATGTGCGCAGCCCTGTCCAGGCACCGTGGGGGCAGGACTCTGGTCCCTCCTGCGCTGAGCCAGCCCGGCCTCCCAGCCCCAGGATGGTTTCCAGCTCCTCTGGCAGGTCCCAGGACATGTCCCAGGAGATGAGGCTCTCAAACAGGGCCATCTGCCCCAGGGGATACTAATGTCTCCCTGGGGAGTGTGCCTGCCCCGGCCCCAGGGACGGCTGGCCCTGGTGGCACTAGTGCACAAGGGTCCTCCCCGGGCTGGGAGGGGCCTGTCTGGGGTCTGCTCCCTCAGCCCGTGACGTCCCCGTGCCCCGCGAGGTCTCCAGCAGCCCCCAGAGTGCTCCAGTGCCATCTGCTCCGACCTGTCACCCCTGCTGTCACCTGATGGGCGCCCAGGATCCTGGGACTTTGGGAGGCATAGGCACCCCCAAGCAGTCCCTGTGTGGCTTGTGTCACTGGGGCTTGGCCCCGATGTGGCACTGTGGGGGGTGGAGCCCTGAGGAGGGGTGCCCACGGGGAAACAGGTCACCGGAGGCTGGGGTGGGGGTCGGAGTGGCTCCCTTTGGACCTCTGAATTGTTCTCTGGCTCGCCATCCCGCACGTAATGCCACCCTCAGGTGTGTGTCCGCCATGGCCGCCTGTGGTGAGGCGATACAGCCAAGAGGGCCTCAGAGCCAGCACGCTCCACCTGGACTCCCATCTCCAAAACGGCCAAAGAAACCTCCTTTCTTTATAAATGACCCAACCCCAGCCATTTTGTTGTTGTAAGAGAAATGAACTTGCTCTACATGGGCCTTTGTGGGACACTCAAGATCCAACGTGTGAAAAGCCTGGTCCCAAGCTGGCCACTGTCGAGAGGTGGTACAGCCTGGCTGGGGCACTGGCCAGCCCTGGAATCCCAGCAACTGGGGAGGCTGAGACAGAAGGATTGCAAGTTTGAGGCCCGCCTGGACAACTTAGCTAGGCACTGTCTCAAAATTAAAGGGCTAAGGGTATAGTGGGCGATGACCCAAGTTTCATCTTCAGCCCCAGGAAAAAAGGTGGGGCGTCACGGGCCTCTTAGGTCATTGGGTGCGTGCCCTTGAAGGGAACATTAGGACCCCAGGCTCCTCCTCTTTGCTTTGTGGTCATCACGAGCTGAGAGGCTTCAACATGTTCCCGCCACCATGATGTGCTGCCCCCACCAAAGGCCATGGGGCCAGCTGACCACAGACTGGAATGTGCAGAACATGAGCCAGAGTAAACCTTTCCTCTCTGAGTTGATGTCTCTGGTTCTTTGTCGTGGTAAGTCGGGGCTGGTGACACAGGACGGCTGCGCCGTGTTGCTGTGGGCAGGGCCTGGGGTGGTGACACGACCTCCGGCCACAGCTCTGAAGGCCCGGGCAGCTCCTCCCTCTACCTGCGGCGGTGCTGGGGTCCTGACATCCCCCGGGACAGGGACCGGGGAGCAGAACCACGACAGGAGCTCCTTCCTCAGCCTCCCAGCTCCAACCTCTCCGGTCCTCCTGCCACGGCCTCCGCCCACCTGCATGACAGAGCCCGGGGCCGGCAGTGGGCTCCCCGAAGCCCCAGGGAGGAAAGCAGACGAGGCCGAGGGATGAGAACCTTTATTTCCCTGGAGCCCACCCCCACGTCCCCAGCGGGGAAGAAGGTGGCCTGCAGCCAGCGGAGGGGCCCCCAGGTCCTCAGTAGACCACCTCGTACACGGTGGCCTTCTTGTCCCCCGAGCCGGTCACGATGTACTTGTTGTTCCTGGAGATGTCACAGCTCAGCACGGAGGACGACTCCTTGGACTGGAGACGGGAGAAGGGAGAGTGAGGTGGCCCCCGGGGCACCGAGGTCACCCAGGTCACCTGGGGCCAGCAGGCCGGGACATCCTGGCTGGGAAGGGGACAGCAGGCTTTCTAGAGAGGTGTGGCCCCCGGCCAAGGATGGCTGGCTCATCGGACGGGCCCCATGCAGCCACCCTGGTCTTCACCCCAATACCGCCACGGGGCTTTGCACGCGGCCTGAGGGAGCCTGGTGTCTGAGGGTGCCTCCAGCCTGGCGGTGCCGTGACTAGCCTGGGGCTCTGCCCTGATGCAGCCCAAGGGGAGAAGCTGCATGCTTTGGGGCTGAGCCCTGCTGGACAGGCATGTGCCCTTGGGAAGGGCAGGGCACAGCCTCTGTGCTCTTCTCAGGAGAAGAGAAACTGCAGCGCTGCCCTCTCCTGGGAAGCTCAGAGAGGGTGTGCAGGAGCATGCACACAGCTCAGCAGAGGACCCAGGCTCCCAGCACAGTGACCAAGTCCAAGGGTCAGCAAACTGCCAGGGCCCTGCGGGGAAATACTCTTTAGGCTTTGCCTAAAGTCCAAGTAAGTCTCCGGCAGAATCTCCTATCATTTTTTTATGATCCTTTAAAAATGTAAAAGTCACTCCCCAGCCACCGGGATGAGCATAAGAGACAAGGGTCGGGGTGGTGGGGACTCTGGGGCAGCCTCAGGGTGGACACAGGGAGGCCCGCACACACGCGGGAACATCTCCAAGGAGGGCTCCCACACCTCTGCCTGCGCATGGACATGAGGACACTGCAGGTCGCCCGACAGACAGACGGACATGCTGCAGGGTCACCCCCCAGGAGGTTCCTGGCGTCCAGAAGCCTCAGCTGGGGACCAGAGCCGTGGGGGTGGGGTGGGGACAGTGCCAGCTGGTGCCCGCCCCTGACCGCCGCTGGGCTGGAGTCAGGCTGAGGTCTGGGCACCGCTGAAACTCCAGGGCCGGGCGCCCCGCCCAGCGCCCCGCCCAGCGCCCCGCCCAGCGCCCCGCCCAGCGCCCCGCCCCGCGCCCCGCCCAGCGCCCCGCCATGCCTGGAAGATGCTGGCTCCGTAGGGCGTCCTCCAGGCGTTGAGCAGGTTGTCCTTCCCGGTGCTCACGAACCAGCGCCCTGCGGAGGAGGGCAGAGAGCTGAGCGGAGGCCCGAGAGGGCGGAGCCCCAGGGCTGGAGCAGGGCGTAGGCCTGAGCCCCTCGACTGGGATTGGCAGAGGTCGGGGTGCCGCGATTGAACCCCGGGGCTCCTCACCACCGACATCTCCAGCCACCCCCACTTTTTAAATATTGAGACCAGATCTCCCTAGATGGCCCGAGCTGGCGACCCTCCTGCCTGGCCTGGGGACGCCCTGTGGGGGGCGCACCGCAGGAGGCGAACTTGAGCGACAGCACGCAGCTCTCGTGCAGGTGCAGCTGGTACTTCTCGGGCTTGCGCACGTGCAGGACCTCCACGCCGCTGCTCTCCATGCCCACGGCCAGCCAGTCCTGGTTGGGGCAGTGGCCCAGGGAGAAGATCTGGGGGAGGAGGGAAGAGAGGGACCTCGGGCCTTAGAGGCCAGCGAGCCCCAGGTCCCTGTTAGCCCTGCGGAGAGGAGGAGAGGCAGGGGGCCCCCCGCAGACCAGGCGGGCCGAGGGGACAGAATCACCCAGACGGCGGAGCACATCCACAGTCTACACCCGGCTCACGACAGGTCTCGGGGCGCCCGGTGGGGGTGGCAGGGGAGGAAGCCAGCCCAGGAGCCTCCCCTTGAGCAGCTCCCCGTGAGCAGAGGCAAGGAGGCTCAAGGTCAGACCAAGCCTGGGAGCCAGGGCTCCTGAGAATCAGCGTGGCCTCTGCCCCCCGCCCCGAGGCGCGCTCCTTGTTTTGACCTGAAAGGACGAGTTCCCACTGCTCTGCACCGAGCCGGTCCTGGGCACCAGGAGCCACGGGGCCAGCTCCACCCCAGCCTCCTGCGGCCTTCCAGCAGGAGGGACCCGGGAATTACAAGAGAAGACCGAGGGTTTCAGATGCCCGCCTGGCCACACGGTGCCTGAAGACACATTCCTGACTCTTGGCTCATCCCGAGACACCTATGTCCTCCTGCTCCCCCTCTCTGCCACCCTTCTGCCTTGACTCCCACAGCACCCTGCACAGGGACCTCTCCAAGCCCAGCCTCTGTCCCACATCAGCCTCCACCTGTCCCCTCAGGTCAGTGGCTCCCAGGATGAGTCCTCAGTGGAGAGGGGAGCTGTCAGGAGCCCTCTGGGGAGTCCAGAGGTTGAAAGCTGGGAAGAGAAACCAGCTCTACAGAAAGAGATAAGAAGATGGGAATGGATGGACAAGAACACGTGGGAAGACGATCTGAGGATCTCAGTGGCCCCATAGCTTAATATGAATCAGGCCTTTTGTGTTACCCTGTGTTTGAGAATTAAAGGTGATGGCCTGTGGATTGGTCTGGAGGACAAGAAAGTAGGACTCAGATAATCCCAGCCTGAGCCTGGAATTGGGCCACCCACTGAGGACAGGAGGCAAGATTCCTGCAACTCCCACCCCTGCCCCAGACCTCAGCCAGCCCACCTGGGAGCTGAAGTCGTGCTGCTGCAGCTGTCGCCCCTCCCGCAAGTCCCAGCAGCGCACCGTGTTGTCCAGGCCGCCAGTCCACAGCCGAGTGCCGTAGTCAGAGATGTCGATGCAGCTGGCACCATCGGTGTGGCCCTGGAACTGCCTGGAGGGAGCATGGCCCAGGTGTCTGTCCGGGAGCCTGGGTGTCTCCAGCCCACCCACCTGGTGCACAGGGAGGGAAGGCACCCACCTGACCATGGTCTGGTTCTGCAGATCCCACACCACGATGTTGCCGTCGCTGCAGCAGGAGAAGCAGACCTTGGCGTCGGGGCTGACCGCCAGGGCGTAGCAGGCAGGGGCGGAGGAGGTCAGCTCGGCCTTGATGCGGGGGGTGGGCGCCGCCAGGTCCCAAATGGACAAAGTGCTGGCTTCGCCACCCACGATTAGACTCCGGCCGTCAGGCAGCAGCTTGCAGGAACGAATGTAGTTGTCCCGGTTCTGGGGCCAGCAAGGAGGGGAGCGAGAGCTGGTCACCAGCCCGGGCCACACCCCCGGACTCCCTAGCCTCGGGTCAGCCCCGCCCATTGGCCCGCAAGCCCGCCCCTCGGCGCTGCAAGTCCCTCCCTGGTTGGCTTTGAGGTTGCCTCAGGCCCCGCCCCCCGGCTCAGGCCCCGCCCCCGGCCGGGGCCGCCCTCACCAGGCAGTCGAGCTGGGCCACCGGCGTCTTGGCGCCCGGCTGGCCCACGTCCCACACCTTCACGCAGCCCTTGCCGCCCGTGTACACGTGCTGCGTGGAGCCGCTGATGGTGACTGCGCACACCACCTCGCCGTGCGCCAGCGTGTGCAGCTGCCGCGCGTGCCGCGGGATGCCCGTGCCCACCAGGGCGTCCGAGGGGAAGGGCACGGGCTGCATCTGCCCGTCCGCAGACACGTGGAAGGAGTAGGCCCTGCGTGGGAGGTGGCCGTGACCACCAGGGACAGGCCCTGTGCTCCTCACTGCCCAGGGAGTCACCTTCTGCCTGGTACCCGCTGATGCATTAGAGAAAGGGGAGGACAGGGTCCTCGTGATGGGGGGATGGCCAGGACAGAAAGGACCTGGCCCGGCCTGCACAGCAAGCCCGCGTGGCTAAACCGGGATCCATGGAGAGGACCGAGCTACCTGGGGCCAGTTAGGCTCAGATGAACCCAACTTGGTCCCTCGGGGGTGCCCCACCACTGAGCTACCACCCCAGCCCTTGTATCTTTTGAGACAGGGTCTTGCTAGTTGGCTGAGTCTGGCCTCTCACTCGCCATCCTCCTGCCTCGGCCTCCGCACTGGCTGGGATGACAGGCGTGGCGTGATTTCAGGGACTCAGAAACCACGTGACCACCCCGTGCCAGGCGCTCCCTTTGCCCCAGCCTTGACAACCACAGATGTCCCCTGGTGTGGCCAAGGGTCCCCTGGGGCAGAACCCCCCTGTAGACCATCACTACTGGGCTGAGCACCTTCCTCCAGGAGCCCTGCTGGGAACTGGTCATCTTCAAGAGACCCCCACAAGGGCACAGGGGACCCCACCCCGGGGACCCCGCCCCGGTACTCACGGCTTTCCCCCAGGGATGCTGGGCAGGGAGGAAGAGATGGACGACCCTCGGAGATGGGGGTGGGACTCAAATGCCATCTGTCAGAGGCCAGAGAAGGTCCCCCAGGGCCAGCGTCTCTGCCCCGGTCTGCCCTCTGCCATGCCCTGTTTATCCACGGACCCTGCATCTGGCTTCAGCCCCGACCCAAGGGCAGAAGTGCCTGCTCCTCCAGAGGCGGGGACCTCAGGTGTTTACTTGAGGGGCCCCCAGTCTATCCAGGTACCCTAAAGCCAGGGCTGGAGGGTCCTCAAGTCACCCACCCGCTGCGCAGAGCTGCTGTGGCGCAGGGG